CCTTAGAATTTCGAACAATGTTTCAAGGGGTGATTCTAAGTGATATTACTACAAGGACCTTAAAGTTATTTTGGCATACCTCAGGGGTGTATGTGTAAATTACCCTGAATAATAGTATGTAAATATATTGTAGCCGTATAACAATTTATTGAAGACAAATAGATAAAAATGGAAATTAAATATTTTAATTGCAAAAAAAATTCGTAATTAACTAGGGGGGTTTCTTGTGAAGCAAGCTGGCGCTGCGCTGTGTTTGGTGGCCCTATATATAAGTCACCCCCAAATCACATTTAATCCAAATCCATTATTCCAATTTTCTCAACCTAATCCTGAATCAATTTCATACCTTCATTGACAAATTGTAAGTCTTCTCTCTCTCTCTCTCTAGAACGATGAATCTTCTTGATTCGTGAATTATTGGTCGTATGCGCTTTTAAATGATTCTAGGGTGGCCCTAAATTGTGAAAGGGTTTTTGGAATGAAAAAAAAAAAAAAACCCTATTTCTACGAACTCAAATTCTTCGCTGTACAGTTATACTTGTTTAATTGTTCAAATTTTACTCTTACAATCAACGTATGTTTAGTTATGTTATGTATTGTGTATATTTGTAACTATGTTTTCTGCCGCTGCCTTTTTTCTCTACTGAATTCATTACATACATCTCCGATGAGCTTAATTTTGAGGGCTTTTGGAGCCAGTGGTGTTTGTGAATCGTGTGATTTACTAAATTGCCCTTTTCGTTGTTTCGTGTGTAAGCGAGGATTTATCTTTATTAAGAGTGCGATAATTTTGATAAATAAAATTATGGGGAGTTTTTTTTTTTTTTTTTCTGGGATGATTAGTAGTGAATACTAAATGTTTTTTTCCTCGAATTCGTGTAGGAAATGGGAAATTTGTTTTGCTGTATTCAAGTGGACCAGTCGACCGTTGCTATTAAGGAACGATTTGGGAAATTCGAGGATGTTCTAGAACCAGGGTGTCACTGCTTGCCTTGGTTTCTTGGAAGCCAGCTGGCAGGCCATCTTTCTCTGCGTCTGCAGCAATTGGATGTTAAATGCGAGACCAAGACTAAGGTAACGTTCGTTTTCTCCTCAATTTTATTTTTTAGTAGTTTAGTGTCGAGCGATTTTTCGATTTTC